TTTACAGACGGATCCAAAAATGACTCCGCAGTAGGAGCTGCAGCCCTTGCATCGCCACACAGCTTAAGCTTAAGGGGATCCACTGGTCAGATCAGTAAAAATTTTGAAAAAATATCAGTTTTCGGATTTGGGGGTATCTTAATAGATATCAATATCAAGGATCCATCTTTAGAAGCCTAATTCCTTTATCAAACTTATAAATAGCTGGAAAAAGCATTTAAGAGAGGCAGCAATGAAGGAAAATCTTCACCAAAAATTATCTCTCTTTGCAGTTTTCTCAGAATTGTTTATCTGACCAGGTTGCAACACTATATTGAGTAGATCTCAGAACTTTACTGTCAGAAGTGTTTCACATTTGGACACAATCTTTTATACACATTTCTCTATAACTTTACAGGAGCATTTTTGCTGTTTATGGTACACATTTGGAGTTTTAGGCCTGTTTTATTTTACAAAATCTGAAAACATTGGAGACCTGAATGTAGTGCATAACAAGGACTGTAATGCTCACAAGTCAGTACAGAACATTCAAATTTGGCTCTGTAAGGTTGTTCTACCTACCAACAGTAATCGCCATGCCAAATATTAGGCTTCTATCTTGATGAGTGTTGATGATTGACAAAATATAAAATTGGTTTTAAAAATGCTGAATCAATCCTTTATTTTTGATGGCTCGAGATTTTTATGGCTAAAATCTTGAATTTTTTGCTTGGTAACCTTTTTTTGTACTATGTCACCCCCTTTGATGCAGAAAAGCAAGCTTTAGACCAAAAACTATAGCATTTGGGTGTTGACCATAGCTACACCCCCTTAAGGAAACTCCATCCAGAAGCCTCAGTCTACACTGCTGAGGCTACAGCTCTTGAAATGGCCCTAAATATTATAGATCAATCAACCAAGTCTACCTTCCTAATCCTTTCAGACTCTCTCTCTTGTCTGAAATCTTTAGAGCGCTCTGACACCTCCGACAACAGAATTTTGAAACTTATCATTAAACTGCATTTTCTACATCAGTCTGGAAAAACTATTACAATAGCTTGGCTTCCAAGCCATGTAGGCATTGATGGCAACGAAGCCGTTGACCAATTTGCCAAAGAATCTCTAAAACTACCTGAAAACAAAATAGTAAAATCCCTTTCTCTGACATGAAACCGAAAGTAAAAGAACACATCACATCCTCCTGGTCCCAAAGTTGGAATCAACAAATACACAACAAACTCCATTACATTCAACCGAAACTTACGCCCAGGAAACCATTTTCTCTACCACGAAGGGAAAAAGTAATTTTTACCCGACTAAAAATAGGACACACGCACGTCACGCACAAACATTTGCTCGAAGGAGAGGAAGCTCCTTTTTGCGTGGCGTGCAACACAGATTTCACAGTTCGGCACATCCTAATGGAATGTGTCGACTTTAATTATGTCCGTGATAAATATTTTAAATGTAAAGATATTAAGACCCTTTTTAACATCATAGAACCTAGAAGAATTTTAAGATTTATAAAAGAAATTGGACTGTTTAATAAAATGTGAAAATATATAGTTGTCGTTGTCGGTGTATATATACATACGGTGTATATATACATACACTGAAATTTGTATTGTATATACAAATGTAAATAAGCCTTTTCCATATATTTACACAATTTTTTTTATAAATGTTTGTTCGTCTTTTTAGCATAATAGAAATAGTGTGATCGTTTGCGGTTGCGAGCTCCGAAAGACTCTTTATTAAAACACGTCTGATTTTGTAGCGGTGAAACCTGATGGCGCTTAAATGACCAAAATTGTGTCGATAGTGCCGTAAAACATCTACCCAATCAATCGAGGGAGAGGAAGCTCCTTTTTGCGTGGCGTGCAACACAAATTTCACAGTTCCGCACATCCTAATGGAATGTGTCGACTTTAATTATGTCCGTGATAAATATTTTAAATGTAAAGATATTAAGACCCTTTTTAACATCATAGAACCTAGAAGAATTTTAAGTTTTATAAAAGAAATTGAACTGTTTAATAAAATGTGAAAATATATAGTTGTCGTTGTCGGTGTATATATACATACGGTGTATATATACATACACTGAAATTTGTATTGTATATACAAATGTAAATAAGCCTTTTCCATATATTTACAAAATTTTTTTTATAAATGTTTGTTCGTCTTTTTAGCATAATAGAAATAGTGTGATCGTTTGCGGTTGCGAGCTCCGAAAGACTCTTTATTAAAACACGTCTGATTTTGTAGCGGTGAAACCTGATGGCGCTTAAATGACCAAAATTGTGTCGATAGTGCCGTAAAACATCTACCCAATCAATCGAGGGAGAGGAAGCTCCTTTTTGCGTGGCGTGCAACACAAATTTCACAGTTCCGCACATCCTAATGGAATGTGTCGACTTTAATTATGTCCGTGATAAATATTTTAAATGTAAAGATATTAAGACCCTTTTTAACATCATAGAACCTAGAAGAATTTTAAGATTTATAAAAGAAATTGGACTGTTTAATAAAATGTGAAAATATATAGTTGTCGTTGTCGGTGTATATATACATACGGTGTATATATACATACACTGAAATTTGTATTGTATATACAAATGTAAATAAGCCTTTTCCATATATTTACACAATTTTTTTTATAAATGTTTGTTCGTCTTTTTAGCATAATAGAAATAGTGTGATCGTTTGCGGTTGCGAGCTCCGAAAGACTCTTTATTAAAACACGTCTGATTTTGTAGCGGTGAAACCTGATGGCGCTTAAATGACCAAAATTGTGTCGATAGTGCCGTAAAACATCTACCCAATCAATCAATCAATCAATCAAAAATAGTGAAATCCCTTTCTCTGCCATGAAACCGAAAGTAAAAGAACACATCACATCCTCCTGGTCCCAAAGTTGGAATCAACAAATACACAACAAACTCCATTACATTCAACCGAAACTTACGCCCAGGAAACCATTTTCTCTACCACGAAGGGAAAAAGTAATTTTTACCCGACTAAAAATAGGACACACGCACGTCACGCACAAACATTTGCTCGAAGGAGAGGAAGCTCCTTTTTGCGTGGCGTGCAACACAGATTTCACAGTTCGGCACATCCTAATGGAATGTGTCGACTTTAATTATGTCCGTGATAAATATTTTAAATGTAAAGATATTAAGACCCTTTTTAACATCATAGAACCTAGAAGAATTTTAAGTTTTATAAAAGAAATTGAACTGTTTAATAAAATGTGAAAATATATAGTTGTCGTTGTCGGTGTATATATACATACACTGAAATTTGTATTGTATATACAAATGTAAATAAGCCTTTTCCATATATTTACAAATTTTTTAAAATAAATGTTTGTTCGTCTTTTTAGCATAATAGAAATAGTGTGATCGTTTGCGGTTGCGAGCTCCGAAAGACTCTTTATTAAAACACGTCTGATTTTGTAGCGGTGAAACCTGATGGCGCTTAAATGACCAAAATTGTGTCGATAGTGCCGTAAAACATCTACCCAATCAATCAATCAATCAATGATGGCCTGCCTTGCAACAGCCAGTTCGAATCAACTGCTTTTTGACGACCTGCGTTTGTCTTTTGCTGGTATGACACGAGAGGAGCATAATATTTTTTTGACGCATTTTTACGTAATTCAATGATTTACTGTTGTAACATAAAAATAGTCATAACTTCACATAGAAGAGAGGTATTTCACTAAAATAAAAAGCAAACTGTCCACAAATGGCACCTCTATGCTGTGGTATCAGCATTATGTGCTTCTATGCATTGTCATCATGGAAAATGTGTTCCCAAAGTAAGCAAAACTTTAAAACCTGTTTTCTCAAAATTTGACACTCGAACTCCTGTTCGCTTTAAAATGCCATAACTTTTCACAGAATGTTCCAATTGCTTTCAAATAAAGTGCAAAATGCTCGGAAAAGATGTGTCTTTTAAAATATGCAAAAAATGTCATTTTGAAATTTTGCACCTATTGAAGGGTTTTCTAAGAGCCACACACGACTTCTGGCGCTCATATGACCTTATGCAGTTGCGAGCGCTGTAAAACCTCTATTCCAAAACTAAGCCCCCCACACAGCTGAGCTTGTTTACCCACGGCTGCAGTCTCATGTCTTACTGTTAATGGACTCATGGTCTAGGTTTGGGGAAATTGTACTAACATAATATATATTACATATATACACCTTGGTGTTGATTTTATAAGAACATCTTGAAATAGAGACATGGATTCAACTTTTGATTGAGGGAATTATTTTTAGGATCAAACGACTAAGATAAAATAGGGATGGGAGCATGGACAAAGTAAAGGCTATGGTGTGACAGCGGTGCTATCGGCTGACCATCGGAAAGACACATTTATCCGACATCGTTCTAATGTTGGGTGATCATCGGTTTCCGATGGTGTGTGGGAACCCGACATCGTCCTGATGGTGGGTTGTCGTCGGTTTCCGATGATGTGTCGATATCCATCATCGCACCGATGGTGGGTTGTCATCGGAAACCGATGGTAAGTCGATATCCATCATCGCACTGATGGTGGGTTGTCATCGGAAACCGATGGTAAGTCGGTATCCATCATCGTGCCGATGGTGGGTTGTCATCGGAAACCGATGGTAAGTCGGTATCCATCATCGCACCGATGGTGGGTTGTCATCGGAAACTATTATGACAAACTTCAGTTTTGACCTAAAAATTAATATTTTGACCTGTCCTTTACTTAAAAATTTTATATTAAATGAAAGTTTCCTCATAATATGTATCTGTGTACATGTTTATCAACTCTGGAAAGCCCTCAGAGTACAGTATGTAATTCGTTCATAACAATTACTACAAAAGAAGAATACTGATGAAAATACATACCCATACACTTATGATAAAAATCAAAATATCAGAATGTAAGCAAGGTCTAATAACATCCTCAGGTTGGGTTAAAATTAAAAATACATCCCAAAACAACTGTAAATTACATGGAATAAGGTTTCGTTCATAACCATTATGACACAATGTCGCGTTCATAACATGATGACAATCCATTATGACAAGCATACTTTTGCCTCTTCTTCGCTTCTCTTTTGAGTCATCAGCACGCTACTCTTCCATGTTCATTCCACCATGTAAAAGGATGTTGTGAAACAGTGGGAAGTCCCTCACATGATATTTTGCAGAAATATCATAAAGTGTTTGTTCATAACATCATTATGACAAACCTGGATTATCTCAATCAAAGTCATATTTAAGCAAAACCATGCGATGGAGCGGAAAATTACCCTTCTGATGGATCAATGTCAAACCAATGTTTAATACCGGTCATTCCCCGGGATGATATGTTTAACGATTAGGGATTAGACCTTGGAAAGTCTGATGATGTAATTATGACACGAGTTATGAACAAACTTATAAATTTTACTCAGCAATAACATCATTAATATAAAAACATAAAACCCTTTTAATGGACACACGCTGCTATGATGGTGTATAAAAACTATTTTCAATGTTTGAATGCTCTACTGTTTGATAGTTTAAGATTAACAATATTCTGTATTTAACATACAATTACGTGAGCACTCAGGATGAGTAAAAAATGCCCTATTTTTTGTACTATTATCTTTCTATGAAGAAATATAAGATGCACACATCAATGTACTTGCTCATGCAGCTTGACCAACTTATTTCCTTGCCATATGCATAAAGTTTTCAGAAGAAAACATATTTTACCACGAGTAGTGGTTGATTAAAAAAGTCCTCATGCAAACACCCCCACCTTTTGGCAAAAGCTCATATCTATTCTGAATACATACTCTTTAATTATTTGACTTGAAAAGAACCAAGAAAAGAGAGATGCTGCACTATCGCAGTGATGATCTGTCACAAACTTGTCGTCACATGAAAGTGAATTTCTTAAACTGAGTAGGCCCATATAAAAATACAGCGATGCAAAACGAAAACAAGAGGTGACAGAATGATGGACAAAAATTCTGGCTTCTTGTTGCAACCTGTCAACTGTAAAGGGATCACGGAGCAAATTATTCTCAATTGGTGATCATTAATCACTGGTTTGTTTGAACTGATAGTGGTCATTTAAATACAGTGGTGTACAACACTATAAATTTCATTATGCAAGCTGCACACCTTTAAATCGCTCTCTTTTAATTTCTGTATCTACAGACGAGGATGATGCCTTAGGGGTGACCTTCATAGAGAACGTGACAGTGACAGCCTTTGTGGTGCCAGAAGGTAAGTGTGTGGAGCAGACAGTTTTGCGAAGTTGAAGGGCCTGAAGTGCTTCTGCAAGCTCAATGATGGCCTGCCTTGCAACAGCCAGTTCGAATCAACTGCTTTTGACGACCTGCGTTTGTCTTTTGCTGGTATGACACGAGAGGAGCATAATATTTTTTTGACGCATTTTTACGTAATTCAATGATTTACTGTTGTAACATAAAAATAGTCATAACTTCACATAGAAGAGAGGTATTTCACTAAAATAAAAAGCAAACTGTCCACAAATGGCACCTCTATGCTGTGGTATCAGCATTATGTGCTTCTATGCATTGTCATCATGGAAAATGTGTTCCCAAAGTAAGCAAAACTTTAAAACCTGTTTTCTCAAAATTTGACACTCGAACTCCTGTTCGCTTTAAAATGCCATAACTTTTCACAGAATGTTCCAATTGCTTTCAAATAAAGTGCAAAATGCTCGGAAAAGATGTGTCTTTTAAAATATGCAAAAAATGTCATTTTGAAATTTTGCACCTATTGAAGGGTTTTCTAAGAGCCACACACGACTTCTGGCGCTCATATGACCTTATGCAGTTGCGAGCGCTGTAAAACCTCTATTCCAAAACTAAGCCCCCCACACAGCTGAGCTTGTTTACCCACGGCTGCAGTCTCATGTCTTACTGTTAATGGACTCATGGTCTAGGTTTGGGGAAATTGTACTAACATAATATATATTATATATATACACCTTGGTGTTGATTTTATAAGAACATCTTGAAATAGACATATGGATTCAACTTTTGATTGAGGGAATTATTTTTAGGATCAAACGACTAAGATAAAATAGGGATGGGAGCATGGACAAAGTAAAGGCTATGGTGTGACAGCGGTGCTATCGGCTGACCATCGGAAAGACACATTTATCCGACATCGTTCTAATGTTGGGTGATCATCGGTTTCCGATGGTGTGTGGGAACCCGACATCGTCCTGATGGTGGGTTGTCGTCGGTTTCCGATGATGTGTCGATATCCATCATCGCACCGATGGTGGGTTGTCATCGGAAACCGATGGTAAGTCGGTATCCATCATCGTGCCGATGGTGGGTTGTCATCGGAAACCGATGGTAAGTCGGTATCCATCATCGTGCCGATGGTGGGTTGTCATCGGAAACCGATGGTAAGTCGGTATCCATCATCGTGCCGATGGTGGGTTGTCATCGGAAACCGATGGTAAGTCGGTATCCATCATCGCACCGATGGTGGGTTGTCATCGGAAACTATTATGACAAACTTCAGTTTTGACCTAAAAATTAATATTTTGACCTGTCCTTTACTTAAAAATTTTATATTAAATGAAAGTTTCCTCATAATATGTATCTGTGTACATGTTTATCAACTCTGGAAAGCCCTCAGAGTACAGTATGTAATTCGTTCATAACAATTACTACAAAAGAAGAATACTGATGAAAATACATACCCATACACTTATGATAAAAATCAAAATATCAGAATGTAAGCAAGGTCTAATACATCCTCAGGTTGGGTTAAAATTAAAAATACATCCCAAAACAACTGTAAATTACATGGAATAAGGTTTCGTTCATAACCATTATGACACAATGTCGCGTTCATAACATGATGACAATCCATTATGACAAGCATACTTTTGCCTCTTCTTCGCTTCTCTTTTGAGTCATCAGCACGCTACTCTTCCATGTTCATTCCACCATGTAAAAGGATGTTGTGAAACAGTGGGAAGTCCCTCACATGATATTTTGCAGAAATATCATAAAGTGTTTGTTCATAACATCATTATGACAAACCTGGATTATCTCAATCAAAGTCATATTTAAGCAAAACCATGCGATGGAGCGGAAAATTACCCTTCTGATGGATCAATGTCAAACCAATGTTTAATACCGGTCATTCCCCGGGATGATATGTTTAACGATTAGGGATTAGACCTTGGAAAGTCTGATGATGTAATTATGACACGAGTTATGAACAAACTTATAAATTTTACTCAGCAATAACATCATTAATATAAAAACATAAAACCCTTTTAATGGACACACGCTGCTATGATGGTGTATAAAAACTATTTTCAATGTTTGAATGCTCTACTGTTTGATAGTTTAAGATTAACAATATTCTGTATTTAACATACAATTACGTGAGCACTCAGGATGAGTAAAAAATGCCCTATTTTTTGTACTATTATCTTTCTATGAAGAAATATAAGATGCACACATCAATGTACTTGCTCATGCAGCTTGACCAACTTATTTCCTTGCCATATGCATAAAGTTTTCAGAAGAAAACATATTTTACCACGAGTAGTGGTTGATTAAAAAAGTCCTCATGCAAACACCCCCACCTTTTGGCAAAAGCTCATATCTATTCTGAATACATACTCTTTAATTATTTGACTTGAAAAGAACCAAGAAAAGAGAGATGCTGCACTATCGCAGTGATGATCTGTCACAAACTTGTCGTCACATGAAAGTGAATTTCTTAAACTGAGTAGGCCCATATAAAAATACAGCGATGCAAAACGAAAACAAGAGGTGACAGAATGATGGACAAAAATTCTGGCTTCTTGTTGCAACCTGTCAACTGTAAAGGGATCACGGAGCAAATTATTCTCAATTGGTGATCATTAATCACTGGTTTGTTTGAACTGATAGTGGTCATTTAAATACAGTGGTGTACAACACTATAAATTTCATTATGCAAGCTGCACACCTTTAAATCGCTCTCTTTTAATTTCTGTATCTACAGACGAGGATGATGCCTTAGGGGTGACCTTCATAGAGAACGTGACAGTGACAGCCTTTGTGGTGCCAGAAGGTAAGTGTGTGGAGCAGACAGTTTTGCGAAGTTGAAGGGCCTGAAGTGCTTCTGCAAGCTCAATGATGGCCTGCCTTGCAACAGCCAGTTGGAATCAACTGCTTTTGACGACCTGCGTTTGTCTTTTGCTGGTATGACACGAGAGGAGCATAATATTTTTTTGACGCATTTTTACGTAATTCAATGATTTACTGTTGTAACATAAAAATAGTCATAACTTCACATAGAAGAGAGGTATTTCACTAAAATAAAAAGCAAACTGTCCACAAATGGCACCTCTATGCTGTGGTATCAGCATTATGTGCTTCTATGCATTGTCATCATGGAAAATGTGTTCCCAAAGTAAGCAAAACTTTAAAACCTGTTTTCTCAAAATTTGACACTCGAACTCCTGTTCGCTTTAAAATGCCATAACTTTTCACAGAATGCTCCAATTGCTTTCAAATAAAGTGCAAAATGCTCGGAAAAGATGTGTCTTTTAAAATATATGCAAAAAAGGTCATTTTGAAATTTTGCACCTACCTAGTGAAGGGTTTTCTAAGAGCCACACACGACTTCTGGCGCTCATATGACCTTATGCAGTTGCGAGCGCTGTAAAACCTCTATTCCAAAACTAAGCCCCCCACACAGCTGAGCTTGTTTACCCACGGCTGCAGTCTCATGTCTTACTGTTAATGGACTCATGGTCTAGGTTTGGGGAAATTGTACTAACATAATATATATTATATATATACACCTTGGTGTTGATTTTATAAGAACATCTTGAAATAGACATATGGATTCAACTTTTGATTGAGGGAATTATTTTTAGGATCAAACGACTAAGATAAAATAGGGATGGGAGCATGGACAAAGTAAAGGCTATGGTGTGACAGCGGTGCTATCGGCTGACCATCGGAAAGACACATTTATCCGACATCGTTCTAATGTTGGGTGATCATCGGTTTCCGATGGTGTGTGGGAACCCGACATCGTCCTGATGGTGGGTTGTCGTCGGTTTCCGATGATGTGTCGATATCCATCATCGCACCGATGGTGGGTTGTCATCGGAAACCGATGGTAAGTCGATATCCATCATCGCACCGATGGTGGGTTGTCATCGGAAACCGATGGTAAGTCGGTATCCATCATCGTGCCGATGGTGGGTTGTCATCGGAAACCGATGGTAAGTCGGTATCCATCATCGCACCGATGGTGGGTTGTCATCGGAAACTATTATGACAAACTTCAGTTTTGACCTAAAAATTAATATTTTGACCTGTCCTTTACTTAAAAATTTTATATTAAATGAAAGTTTCCTCATAATATGTATCTGTGTACATGTTTATCAACTCTGGAAAGCCCTCAGAGTACAGTATGTAATTCGTTCATAACAATTACTACAAAAGAAGAATACTGATGAAAATACATACCCATACACTTATGATAAAAATCAAAATATCAGAATGTAAGCAAGGTCTAATACATCCTCAGGTTGGGTTAAAATTAAAAATACATCCCAAAACAACTGTAAATTACATGGAATAAGGTTTCGTTCATAACCATTATGACACAATGTCGCGTTCATAACATGATGACAATCCATTATGACAAGCATACTTTTGCCTCTTCTTCGCTTCTCTTTTGAGTCATCAGCACGCTACTCTTCCATGTTCATTCCACCATGTAAAAGGATGTTGTGAAACAGTGGGAAGTCCCTCACATGATATTTTGCAGAAATATCATAAAGTGTTTGTTCATAACATCATTATGACAAACCTGGATTATCTCAATCAAAGTCATATTTAAGCAAAACCATGCGATGGAGCGGAAAATTACCCTTCTGATGGATCAATGTCAAACCAATGTTTAATACCGGTCATTCCCCGGGATGATATGTTTAACGATTAGGGATTAGACCTTGGAAAGTCTGATGATGTAATTATGACACGAGTTATGAACAAACTTATAAATTTTACTCAGCAATAACATCATTAATATAAAAACATAAAACCCTTTTAATGGACACACGCTGCTATGATGGTGTATAAAAACTATTTTCAATGTTTGAATGCTCTACTGTTTGATAGTTTAAGATTAACAATATTCTGTATTTAACATACAATTACGTGAGCACTCAGGATGAGTAAAAAATGCCCTATTTTTTGTACTATTATCTTTCTATGAAGAAATATAAGATGCACACATCAATGTACTTGCTCATGCAGCTTGACCAACTTATTTCCTTGCCATATGCATAAAGTTTTCAGAAGAAAACATATTTTACCACGAGTAGTGGTTGATTAAAAAAGTCCTCATGCAAACACCCCCACCTTTTGGCAAAAGCTCATATCTATTCTGAATACATACTCTTTAATTATTTGACTTGAAAAGAACCAAGAAAAGAGAGATGCTGCACTATCGCAGTGATGATCTGTCACAAACTTGTCGTCACATGAAAGTGAATTTCTTAAACTGAGTAGGCCCATATAAAAATACAGCGATGCAAAACGAAAACAAGAGGTGACAGAATGATGGACAAAAATTCTGGCTTCTTGTTGCAACCTGTCAACTGTAAAGGGATCACGGAGCAAATTATTCTCAATTGGTGATCATTAATCACTGGTTTGTTTGAACTAATAGTGGTCATTTAAATACAGTGGTGTACAACACTATAAATTTCATTATGCAAGCTGCACACCTTTAAATCGCTCTCTTTTAATTTCTGTATCTACAGACGAGGATGATGCCTTAGGGGTGACCTTCATAGAGAACGTGACAGTGACAGCCTTTGTGGTGCCAGAAGGTAAGTGTGTGGAGCAGACAGTTTTGCGAAGTTGAAGGGCCTGAAGTGCTTCTGCAAGCTCAATGATGGCCTGCCTTGCAACAGCCAGTTCGAATCAACTGCTTTTGACGACCTGCGTTTGTCTTTTGCTGGTATGACACGAGAGGAGCATAATATTTTTTTGACGCATTTTTACGTAATTCAATGATTTACTGTTGTAACATAAAAATAGTCATAACTTCACATAGAAGAGAGGTATTTCACTAAAATAAAAAGCAAACTGTCCACAAATGGCACCTCTATGCTGTGGTATCAGCATTATGTGCTTCTATGCATTGTCATCATGGAAAATGTGTTCCCAAAGTAAGCAAAACTTTAAAACCTGTTTTCTCAAAATTTGACACTCGAACTCCTGTTCGCTTTAAAATGCCATAACTTTTCACAGAATGTTCCAATTGCTTTCAAATAAAGTGCAAAATGCTCGGAAAAGATGTGTCTTTTAAAATATGCAAAAAAGGTCATTTTGAAATTTTGCA